TGTTGAGACATCACGCGTTATTGTTGGGACGTTGTTTTAGTGGGGGAACTGCGGCGCTCGGTGGGGTGCGGCGCTCGGTGGTGAAACACGTTATAACGTAAAATCGAATTTAGATACAAAGAATATGGAGATGGAATTATTTCATTTTTCATCTCTGGAATAGGTAGGGTTGAGAATTCTCCATGATAAATCATTGAATATTTTTGATTTTCGATGATACTAATATTCTTTACTACTTTTGCGATACTACCTCATGTTCAACCCCCCCCCCTCTCTCTCTGCTGTGTTCTAAAATTCTTCTCTTGCATTCTGCAAAAGGTGGTGTATCGCAATTCGCAGTGATGGAGCTCTATCCACCAATCTCCGTCCAATAATTGGTCTGGCATGATATCCAAACCATGGGACGACACCAGGTCCCTTACACATATCCTCCAACACATCCGCATAAAACTTAGCCACCAGTACACACTAATACCTCCCTCTCTACTCCAAACAATCTAAAGATGCAACGCACGACGCCCCCACACAGCTCAGCACCTCCAAACCAAGCATCCCGCCTCCCACCCCAGCGCTTCCTAACCCACCTCCTCCTTTCCGCCGTAGCAACCCTGATCCCGCACCTCCTCTATCTCCTCCTATCGCTAACTCACCTCTCCCTCACACACCTCTCCGTTATCCAACTCACCATTTTACTCCTAGCCTTCAATCTCACAAACATCCTCGGTCTGGCACTCCGCCTCTTCTTCCTCGCCCTGGGCACTCGCTACCCCCTCCGCAGCGAATCCTACTGCCTCGGTGTCTCATCTGTCATCGCCGCGCTACACGGCGTCACTTTGGTACTGGGTCAATATGTGAATGGTGGGTTTACTGCGGGTCAGCACGCTGCGGTGCATTTTTGTGCAGTGTTTTGGGTGCTTGAGGAGTGCGAGGCGTTTTGGACGTACTTTCAGTGGCGAGGGGTGAGGACGGGCTGGAGGAGGGTGAGGCGTGTGGATGGGGGGCCGCGGTTTGAGTATTTGCGCGAGCCCGTGGCGTATCGGGCTGGTGCGACGCATTTCCTGTGGCGTGGGGAGTTGAGCAAGCGATGCTTGGTGGGGGTTGTGGAGTGTGTGGTATTTCAGGTGGTTTGTGGCGTTGTGGCGTATGGGATCAAGAGTGTGGTTAATCCGGACCCAGAGTGTGGAGTTCTTTGTGGTATGGTGGGTGGGATGGTGCTGTTTGGCGGATATCCAGCTTCGATGTGGGAGGTAGTTCTGGGATTGGCGCTGTTGAGGGTTGTGAGGCAGGCTAATTATGTGGGCTTTTGGGCGTTGGTTGCGTTGGCAAGGCGGTGGGGATTGGTGAGATGCGAAGGGAGTGATATTGAGAGTAAGAGTGAGTCTGGCAGCGGCTATAGAATAGATGTAGCGTGTAGTTGTGGTGTGTAAGAGTAAGGTTACATCTCTCTGCAACTGCAAAATCGTCGGTTGGATTTCCCACTGCTTAATGCCTACTACGATAGGCGATTTCTTACGCAACTCTCCATCTTGAGAGCTATTATGCGCCAAAGAACGCTTGCCATTTGCTTTTCATGTCCTGCAATGCACACACAACCTCAGTGTATACTGCACTCTGCAGTACGTCACCATGAAGATCATCGTCACAAGAAAAGTCGCAGTGAATGCATTTGCGCACAACTTCCAGATATTTGGGACCCAGAGTCTGGATAGAGTGGTGTTTTTCATCAAGCAACTTTCTTGCTGCGATAATATCGCTGGGTGTGCTGTTCAGTTGGGGTCCTGTGATGTCTCTTTGAGCACAGATTTCCAGAAGGGCAACCCCGAGTTTAGCTAGAGTGACGTTGCGAATGCCAAATGTGTGCTTCAGATCAAGTGCGTCATGCTTTCGCTCGGTGGTGAGAGAGGAGTCGTCTGGAAAGCGGTTGCTCAGGTGCAAGCTATCGAGTGCGTCGGAAATGTCGTTGACATCTGCGTGAGACGGATCTGTGAAATATGCTACGTCTTGAAGAGTCCATGCTTGGGGCAGCCAGGAGGTTGAATGGTACTGCAGAACTGCCTCGGCTAACTTGTGTGCAAGTGTAAGCTGTTGCAGCATGCGAAAGCGCTGGACGAGGCTTTTGATAGGCATAGCCCCTTTTCGCCGGGCGAAAGACGATATGTCGTTGGTGGCGAGTTTACTTGCGTCGTAGAACATGAATCGCATTACTGGCTGACTCTTTGCGACTTCAAGAAATCCCACGCAGCCATCTTGACATGTCGATGCAGACGAGTGCATTCTTGTCACGTGGCAGCAAACGCTTTCTGTTGTTTTCAAGTCCAGCATGACAAAAGATTGGGCCTGTGTTGTTTGTATGTTGCTTGTTATAGTCGTTCGAACGCATCTAACATCGTCTTTAGGATCGTTGATTCGGACTCTCTTCTTTGATTTGGCCTTTTCTAATGTTGTCTTAGTTGTGACTGGAACTGTTTCTCCTATTCCATGACACAGTGCGCTCGCTAGTGCTGGCTGAGGCGATGTCGGCACTTTGTATGGTGTAAGTGATGTAATGGTCCGAATTTGTAGCCATATTGGCACATCGGTGGATGGCCTACACGTTGTTAGCAGGGTGGCTCTCATATGACGCACTGAGCTGCAAATCATGCCTGCCCTGACATACTTTTGGACTGCGAGACCTTGTTTTGGTTGGCATGCAACGACAACATCAAGCTGTACGTTGTCGTGCCCGCTCTTGGCATCGAGCGACAGCTTGGCCTGGTGTCCACTATGAGATGTGTTTGTGCAAGACCATGACTCGTGGATCGACTCTCCTAATTGTTGCGAGGCGATGCGGATCTGCTGATAGCTCTTTGGCACGGCTTTGCGAATGATGCAAGCCGATGGGACATTGCGGCGCTTCTGCATCTTGCACCTCTGTTTGCGCAACCTGCTCAGTGATTTGTTCCATTTATCCAAGGATTCCAGCTGTCGGATGTATTCATTCTCTTTGCGAGTTGTGTTGAAAGCATGGCAGATCTTCCTTATGAACTCGTGTTGTGGTTGTTTTGTGTTACCCAGACCGTCCTCGAGCGTGCTTAGGCTTGCTCGGGTTTCGCGGAGGATATTGCGGAGTCGCGTCACAATTTCCTCAAATAGCTCGTAATCCTGTTGCATGAGGTTCCGTAGTCGCCGCTCAATATCCTTTCCTTGCTCTTGCCAGTTCTTGTGCATCGGATCCTCCATCATCTCAGATATTTCGCTGGGGTCGGCCATGGTTGCCTGCAGTAGCATGCGGCAATCATTGTTGAAACTCGCTGCCGCTACTCGGAACTTCAGCTGGATGTCGTATGCGATTTCTGCGTGTCGTGAGAAAGTCGTCAGTTTGCGCCTGGCGGTGTTGTATGACTTGAGAATCTCAACAACAACCGGCACTACACCAAAGACCAGGCCTGCGACTTCGATTCCCGACATGACGTGGAGAAAGAATCTGAGGAGACATGAGGGCTGATCAGGCTGAGCACAATCGCATTGTTGGCGGAGTGAGGCGCAGTTTGGCCCCATTGTGATACCTAAGCGCTCCTGCCCCTCAACGGCTCAGCCTGATCGCAATGGCACCAACATCACACTAAAGAATCCCTCAACCAAGAACTCTTCCATGAATCATTCCTCAACGGCTCTTAAGCCTCCAGTTGTTTGCCCTTTGAGTTTTTCGTCGGATTTGACGCCGCAGGCTCGGTCCATGAAGTACAGGTCAGCCAACAAAGATCCTAAATATGACGATTCATCAGCGCAAAACTGATATTACGAACAGCGAGAGCATGTTGCGGTAGGCAGCCATCTCAAGACTGCCACCCCCTTGCGCGCCAGTTTTTGTGTGCCAAATAGTTATTGCCCATGTTTCCAGCAGGGGTCCGCCACGAGGCGACGGCTGCCGACGAAGGCGGCTCGGTGATGGAGCGCTGGCAGACTGGAGAGGGACGTTCCCAAGAAATAGCATCGTCGCCCCAAAGCAGCCCCACAGCTTTACTTCGAACACGATCACCACTACTCGCTCCTAGGGCCCATGCCTTCTCAGCGTTTGGATCACAGAACTACCCACCGATTACCTTGGATCGCACAGATCAGGTAGCTCCTCCAGGGGCCAAAATTCGACTTACAGCAAGCTTTTGGGAGGACGAAGGCTCCCTTTGTTTTCAAGTTGAAGCTAGAGGGGTTTGCGTGGCTCGCCGTGAAGACAACCACATGATCAACGGTACCAAGCTGTTAAGTGTGGCTGGAATAGATCGAGGCCGTCGAGACGGCATATTGAAGAGCGAGAAGACTAGACATGTGGTCAAGACCGGCCCGATGCACCTCAAGGGCGTTTGGATCCCATTCGAGCGTGCTCTAGCCTTGGCAGATAGGGAGAAGATCACTGAGTTACTATATCCTCTGTTTGTGCATGATATCAAGCAGCTCCTATACGATCCGAAGAATCAGAAGCGCACCTATCTTGCCAACCCCCAACATAAGTCCCAGGAAACAAAGGAACCGGCCGAACCTATCGAAAGTCATGTCCGTCAGATTGACGTGCCAGAAGATGGCGACAAAACTTCACAAGAGATCCCATTGGACACGCTGCGGAATGATGAACTCCAAGAGCAAGGCCCCATTGGATCGCTATCCAGGTCTCTCATAGAGACTCTGAGTCTCATTCTTATTGAAGTCAGGACACACTCCGATAGGGCTCTACACTATGGTTCCCTGGAGTCAAGCTGTGCAGCATTATTTTTCTGGGATGCTGACCTGGGATTATCGCGAGGCGAGCTCGATGATATGCTACAAGACTCTCCTCAGCTGCGCGATACTTGTCTCACTGTTCTTGTGTCAATCTCCCAATTTGTCAGCATATGTATGTGGATGATACACGACCTGTTGTATTGCGCATCACTGACATTGCACAGCGTTAATACATCTCATCAGTAGCGAGCAGCGCCGAAAAGAAGTGTTACAGTCAACAAGTATTTTGACATGCCTGGATCAAACTGTTAATATGATTGAGCAGCAATATCATTCAACTGATAAGCCCGAGCAAGATGCCGAAACATTATGTCAGACTCTCCGTACAAGAATCGATACACTTATCATGCTAGCACCCAGCCTGGAATCACCAGCAGAGGAAACCTTTGATGACGAAGAGCCACGTGCTATCCAATATATGGAGAAAAACTTACCAGAGCAGGCCTACATCAACAGCGTTTCGGAAAAGTTCCCTCTAGCAGCATCAGAAATTGTTGCTCAACTAGGAAAATTGAACTGGGATCGATACAATCACATGCTTCATCTACAGCGGGAAACGATGCAGCAGGAGTTCCAAATGGCCACCATGGAGAAAGCAAGGACAATATTCAACGACTCTGGTCTTGGAATATCTTTACCAGCACAGTCAAAAGCTGCTTCCAGCTCCGAATCTATCTATGCGCCATCAATTGTTTCTACCAGAGCTGAAGCGAGTCACAAACGTGTGCCTCTACTTCCACCACAAGCACGGTCTGGCGAGCCTTTCACCTGCGAAATTTGCAATAAACAAGTCAAGTTTCAGCGGACCAAAGCCTGGAAGTAAGTTGATTCATTCCCGTGCACTCTTAAATGCACTCACACTAATCAAATCACCTTAGGAAACATGTCTTTAGGGACATACTGGCATATGCTTGCTTCTTCGCCGAGTGCTGCAACACTCGCATGTTCTTCGAGGACAGCGATGCGCTAATGACCCACCTACAAGACCAACATGGGATGGATGTTCGACTCTCGGATGTGGAGTGTCCTCTCTGCATGGAGTTTACTTCCGGGGACCGTGATGTCCTAGCACTCCACATTGCCCGCCATATGGAAGAAATCGCTCTTGCTATACTACCTTCTGGTGTTGAATCCGACGAAGAATCAGCAGATGAATCAGGAAGCGTCATTGGATCTAATGATAGCTCTGAATCTTCCGGAAGAGTGATCCAAAGTGTTGAAGAGAAAGAAATGGCTGAGCAAGCCAGGAGAGATGCGGAGCTTGCCACATTTTCCCGTCTTGAGAAATTTCTCATTGACCGACAAAAGGCCAAGTTAGAAAAACAGAAAGCTAAGAAGGAGGCTGCCAAGAAAGCTGCAAAAGAGGCTGAAGAAGCGAAGAAGAGACTTGACAAGGACAAGCTTGCCAAATTGGAGCAACTCATTCTTGCTCAAAGGGATGAACAACTAAAACGAGAGGCCACTGCAGATGCAGAAGCGGCCAGAATCACAGAAGAGAAGAGGCAAGCGGCCGAAAAAGCCAAAATCATACTCGAAGCGTCCGAAAAGTTGCGAGAGGAGGTTGAGAAGAAGGCGGCTGCCGAAGACGATGAGAATAAGAAAGCCTATGGGAAAGCCCTTGCTGAAGCTATAGCCGCTGTAGAGGACAAGCTTGCTAAATTGGAGCAGCCTCCTGCTCATGCATCTATCGACTCTACATCTGTACATTATGATCCTTCTATACCAGTACATGATGGGACACCGTATTACCAATCTGGTCATACAATACAACTGGAAGATTCCCAACTACCGCCTCTTAAAATGCGAGAACGCACGCCACCGCTCCCGCCACCACAGTATAGACCGCTCGGCCTAAATCCTCAAGACAACATTGAAACTTCTGATGAACAACGAACAAAATTCCAAGATATCTCTTATTCTGATGAGGATCGTTTGAGCTTCTTGTCAGCGATTGAATCGATGCGTTCGGCGGGGTTGATACCGCCTAAATCGGAGCCTGAAGATAACAGTGAAACATCTTCTAAACAACAAACAAGACCCGGGGGTACTCTTGCTTATCCAGAAGCACTCCGCTTGTTTTTAGATCCTCAAAATCCATTTGAAGAGCAGAGCCGACAACTTGAGTCAGAGCCTCAAGACAACAGTGGGGGATCTTCCGTACAACAAAAAGTATCTCAAGATACCCCTAAAAGGCGTTCCGCCTCTCCAGATATTTTAAACCCAGATTCGGAATTTCCACGGTTTGATTCAGCCCACAACCTTATCGTTTCATCACCACCACCTGGGTTCTGGGAACAGGATGAACCGTGTTGATGGGAATTGCGATTCGATACAGTTATCAATTTGTCTTTGTTTTTGAATAATTCTCGTTAGATTAGAAATACCAGCCAAACCTTCCTAGAAATCTTTGTCAAGAAACTGCATTTCGTCATATCCCCTCGTTATAATTTAGACGAGTAGTCTCATTAAAACTCCACAGTAGTAAATATATTCATTCCCCGTCACTTCCAAACACTGCATCCCCCACACTCAAACATCATCAACAACCCGCCACTTAGCCTCCATCAACGCATTACTCGCCTCGGCTCCCTCATCCACCAACTTCCTACTCCCCTCCTCCCCCACAACTGGCAGTCTAACCTCGACTCTCTTCCCCTCCGGCACCGTCTCCCCTTCAATCTGATACGGGAAACTCACATACTCAGGAAGCAACCCACACTGCTTAAGCAGCGAGGCATGGTCCCAGCTAATATGCTCATGGCACAGCCTATCACCGCGCAGCGCGACGACGGACGTGAAGGGGATGGCGAGGCGTTTTCTGGTGGGAGGGATACCAGGGAGGAGCCAGGGGATGGTGCTAGTGTGAGTGAGGGAGAAGATGAATTCGTCGATTACGCGGTCGATGCCTACGGTGCGGGAGACGAGGGAGAGGGAGGTGTCTGGGGGGTTGCTGAAGATGAAGTGGTGGGTGTAGAAGGAGGTTAGGTTTGTTTTGCCTATACCGCCGCTGTGGTTGAGGTGTTAGTTTCAGAGGGAGGCTCTTTAAGGGGGAGGGGGTAACGCACGTCATTGTAGGGATGTGGTTGACGTAGGGTTGGTCGACCATTGTTGCCATTGTTTTGGCTACGTCTCGTTCGCCAAACTCGTATTTTGTGTGTTCTTCCCATACGGCTTCGAGGTCGAAGTAGGGTCCTCCTAGGAGGGGTTTGAGGAATGTTAGACTTCTGGTGTGTGCGATTCCTGCGTTGCGTTTATGGTAACTTGGGTCGCTGGGAAGGATCCAGCCGGATTCTTTTTCTGCATCCTCGTAGCGGTATGTCTTGACGCTGCTAGGGGAAATACCAACTGATTCCGAAGACGACTGGCGACGGTGAGCTAATGGAGGACCGGATGTATGGATTAGCTGGGGTGGTTGGTTGGTAGAGCTCAGAGAAACGAATTTTCTGCCCCCGTAGGATATAAGAGCTTTGATGGCTGGGTTTTGGCATGCGGCTTCCTCGACGTAGTAAGGAATTCGCGATATGTATGCTGGAAGATAGCCGTCAGCACGCGATCTGAAAATAGACTCAGGGTCTTAGGGGTTTGGAAGAAAGAGTTTACGAACAAATTAAGCCAACCCCCTTGTCAAACTCGCACCCATCACAGTTTTTGAGGGCATCCAACGCTTTTTGCAGTGGGAACTCTCCGCCGTCCTCGGCTTCATTGCCTGGAACCAGAAGCTAGTGGGCTCTTAGCATCCATGTCAACGTCAAACCCAACCTGGCCCTCCTTTTCATTGCACCACAGCGAGATTCCCACACTTCGAAACCAACATACCTGTACGACTGCAAAACCCTCCTCCGCCCACTTCTGCAACGGCGGCGGATCCAAATACTTCTCACTCGGCCCAATCTCTGCGTAATGATCCAGCACGAGCACCAACCCGGGTCCTCTTCCCCGCCTCGACAGCGGCGCCTGAAGCGTCACATGTGAAGATATACGTTGCGGCTTCATCGACGTAGTATGCGCCTGCTCCGTCTCGAGAAGTGGGGTAATTTTCGCCATAACTGAAGCGCTTGAGTTGGTGTTGGACCACCTCTTCTCCGCCTCCTTGCAACCCGATTCTCAAAATCAGATCGAATATTAAAAAAGAAAGGGGTCTGCGATGTAGATTGACAAAAAGGTTGCTATCGAGATTGTAAGCGTCTAGATTAAATGAACGATCAAACTGCCACCCCGATTCGCAACGGCTACGATAAGACGGGGGTGGAGCAACAGCCCACTTGCTTGCCTTGATGGTGGGGTAAAGTAGCAACCTACCTAAACAAGCACCGCATTCAAGGCATGTATGACAAAGGAAGAGGGGGGGCACGTTGCATGCATGACTTTATTTGTTTGCCAGTCCCCGCATGCCCCAAAAAGCACATGCCCCTGCAATCGTTTTCTTCTGGGCTGGCTCGTTTAAAATTGTTAAGTTTCCTTGCGTAACCGACGGGTGCACGGTGATGTTGTACATACTGCACTTCAAACGTCTTGCAGTGCATTTTTTTGTACGAGTTTCCTTCCACGCGCGCGCGTGCGTTGTGCCGGGTAAATGGAAATCGATGCGTTGCGAGGGTTGCGGAAATGCCGTGTGTTCGGAGTTTCTATGTAGATTGGATGCGTGTACAAGGGGTGAACGGAGGTACAAGCGAGAGGGTTGTGTAGCAAACGAGTGCACGTGGTGAGGTAGCAAGGTACCTTCTCAGATGTGTGCATGGAGCTAGGTCACGTTAGGGTATCCGATGTGGGTATCGCTCATTCAAGGCTATGTGTTCGAGGGTCTCCTTGGATTTGTGTAATACATGACACACGGTTAGGCTGTGAGCGCTCCAGGTCCATTTTTACAGTTTCAAAACACTTTGCACGTCTTATCTCGTTTTTTGTTAATGACATCATGTTGTTTGGTCTTGTTGTACAGCACGTGATGAGCACGTTCACAAGATACATATCGTTTGCTACCCAGCATTGTATGAGGATGACAACATCGAGTCTGAATCATAAAGAACATTTTTCATAAAGAATTGAGTTTGTTAAAACCAGGAATGTTGGGTCTAGCCAGACGCTTCTGGTGAAGTTTATACCAACATCAATCCATGCCAAAACCCTGACACGCTTCATACGTTCGATCCAACCCCTCGTCTCGAATCACCATGCTATCCTCCCCACATGTAACACTTTCGTTCATCGAAACTTTTTCCGGCCGTGTGAAGAACTGGGGAGACGAAAACCGCCGAATGTAGGCAAGGAAGGGAGGACCGGTGGAGGAGGAATTTGAGGTGCGCTGGATACAGAGCGCACTGAACTGGTCTCTTCGGGCTGATCTCAGTGAGCATATAGCCTCTTAAAATCTGAATCCATCGCCTGCTGTCTTACACAAGGAGATAATCCAGTAAGCAAATCTTGTTGAGTGTCGTGGCGGATGTGATCCTCGTCCTTTCCATCCTCATGAAGGGTAGGGCCATCTCCATGAGGGATAGGGGTAGGGGTTTTTTGCTGTCTTTCTTGTGTCGTGTTATCCTTTCTGGCTCGCTCACGAGCAGGCTGATTTCTGCGGTCTACTTCGTCTACCCTGGCCCTAGCTCTGGCTCTGGCCGCAAGTTGGTGCTCTGGGAACATTGGGTCTAACTAAGTAGCCACCTTGATCCAGATATGCTTGTACCAAATCATGTCTGCTTGTTGATATGCTAGCAAGTGAGAGTCGTTTATCTGGTCCTCCGGTTTATCGAGAAGATGGTAACCAAGGACGTTGGTCAAGAGTGGGTTTCGTGGCAAGAAGAGAATGGATAGTGGAGGTGATAGCGATGAGTGTCGTATGACAAGAAGCACGAGTGTTCCGTAAAGTTAATATGTGTAGCAGTCAGCTCGGGGATGGAGAATAAAAGATAGAGCTAGGCGCTAATTTGTTGTTGGGACAGTCTTGTTGCAGCTTCTGATATGCTAGTTGAATGCTGCTCATATCGAGCAGGCGCTGGATCCTTGGCAGTGACATTGGTTGTACCCTTGATCTGTTGAAGGACCTGGGCAGCAACTGCGACGGCATCTTCGGGAAGCCCTGGTTGTGCGTCAGTATCACGTAGGAAAGAGCATCCTGAAACAGAAGACTTACCTGCAATTCTAGCAACTTTCAAAGCATGGCTTTCCCGATTTACACCTTTTCTCAATCGGTGTATATAAGAGAACCTCCCATTGGGTTCTTCAAGTACATCATTACAGTAGCAGCCGAGCTTCTCCAAGTCCTTCGTCATGTCGGTGAGCACATGGAAGTGGGTTGCAAACAACGTCCGGCATTGGTTGACGTGGTAGAGATGATGGAGGCAGGCATATCCCACTGCGATGCCATCCTCCGGTGTTGTTCCCCGACCCACTTCATCCATGATGACAAACGAACGGGGTGTAGCCTCCTTGAGGATTTGTGCTGTTTCAAGCATCTCAACCATGAACGTTGATTGATCTTGGTAGAGATTGTCTGCTGAACCAACACGACTGAACACCTTATCCACCAACCCAATCTCTGCATACTCTGCCGGGACAAACGATCCTGTTTGCGCCAGGATGGATATGAGTGCGTTTTGTCGTAGATAGGTGCTTTTACCAGCCATATTTGGGCCAGTGATCAGCCATATACGTTCTTTCTCGCCTAGTTGGCAATCGTTCGGTGCGAATCTGCGTCCTTGTTCATGTAAACCGCTTTCGACAACTGGATGTCGCCCGCCGATAATATGATGCGACGGTTTTGCGCCAAGAATAGGCCGGATGAAGTTTCTCTCAATAGCAAGGGCTGCAAAGGCACATGCAACATCCAATTCATCAAGTACGGCTGCATTCCGGCGTAGTTTTACGAGGTTTCGTACCACTCCTTCACGTAGCTCGCCAAGAATACGTTGCTCCTCTGCTCGAATGCGGAAGCGAGTCTCATCCATCTGAGCCCCTAGCTGTGTCCATTCGGGGATTTGGAAAGAACGAGTAGTCCTGCTGCTGCTCAAGCTCTTTGGATAGTGATGCGCCACTCGAGACATGTCTTTTCCTTTGACATGCGCAATATGAGCGAGGTTAGGAGTCCATTTCAACACCAAGCTCTCAGCTCCCATGTCTTTGCGCAATTTACTTTCCAATTCGCTTTTAGACTGTCTCAATGTTTCCAGGGTCTCATGCAATCGCTCCAGAGTCTTGCTAGCATTGTGTTTCATGATGTGGACATCCTCTCTCCCATCTGTAGCGCTCTTGAAGCTCCCTGCGATCATATGGGGTTTAGGTTGGACGCGCTTTGGCATGTTCTTCAAATCTTCTTCGCCAGCCTCTCGACCCAGCACGTCCTGGGCTAGTTCCGACATCTCTTCAGCCTCTTCGTTTTCGATGCGATGATACTCAGATAAGCTGTCCTCGTCGATAGCTTCCTGGATTCGGTGCGCGAGCTGGAGTGGCAAGCCTAGATCGAATCGGCGTTCTAGCATTGAAATGCACAGCCTCCGTCTAGTGTCAGACGTTGCATTTGTTGAGTCAACCGGAATGGAATTTCTGAATTTCGCGTGTTCCCGCAACTCATTAAATACGGCAGAGGTCGTAATGATTGTTTTCGAAAGTTCCATGAGGTCGTCGGCGTCCCCACGGCCGTACGTGAACTTGGTCACCAGCCGAAGCGAATCGAACGTTTGCTCTAGTAGTGCGATGATGTTTTGACGTAGCTGTGGGTATTGTATCATCTCTTCTACCAGATCGAGTCTATCATTGATGGTTGAAAGAGACATAGAAGGGGCAGCTTCGTGTCGTCAGTAATTTCCAAAGAACGTTATTGGTCATGTACTTACACAAGCGTTGCGTAAGTAGCCTTGTTCCACTCTTCGTGACCGTCTTCTTTAGAGTGTGTAAAAGGCTTCCTTCGTATGTTCCATCACGAATAGTACTCCTGATCTCTAGTGCTCTCAGACTGTTCTTATCAATGCTCATATAGTCTTCGGCTTGGTGTCTTATCGGAGCCTGAAGCCGTGTTTGCGAACCAAACAGTTGATGCTTGACGTAATGTAGCAATGAACCTCCTGCAGCCACTTCACCAGGCGTGAAATCAGCCATGCCAAAATCACCCACAATTTCTTCCAACATGGGTTTCCAGTTGTCAACAGTCAGTTGCGTTTTAGGGGGATCTTGGAAAGTAATTGTATGTCCATCTTGTTGTATGGCAGAAACAATGTCAGAGTAATCAGCCTCTTGGAAGACACTACTCAATACTATCTCCCTCGGTTTGATACGAGCGAGCACTGAGGGCAGGGACGCGATGTCTGTACTCTGGGTCAGGAAGTCGCCGCTGGATAAATCGATCCATGCGAGTCCGACTTCAGTACGCGGTAGGTTGAGAACCGAGGAAACGCTTGCACTGCCAGGGCTCTGTTTTACTGCAGTTTCTTTCCTAAGCACTTCTGGATCTACATGGATACTAAGAAGGTAGTTGTTCTCCCATGGATCCATAAAGTGCTCATCAATGAGGGTGCCTGGCGTCACAATGCGCGAAACTCTTCTTGTGTATTGTGGCTCACCCTTTGCTTTAGTTGGCGCATCATTGACATACTCGTCGCTAATTGCAACATGCTTATTGAGGTCCTGGACAAGGATTTTGAGATAACGATCCAGCTGGTAAGCGGGGAAGCCAGCCTAGGACTATTAGCGCCGTTTTTCTTTGCTGGGAAAATGGGCTGTTGACTTACCATAGATACCGGAGGCTTCTTGCTGCCTTTCAAGGCCTTTCTTTTAGTTTTTCTGATATTTAGCAGGGGTGAAAACTCATCTGCATGCTCAAAGTATAGCTGAGCGTCAATTTAGTAGGGATTGCAGTGGATCGGATATGTTAGTCAAGTACCTCGTAGAAGCCCCCGACGCGTGTGAGGAGCACACATTGGCTGAACTTGAGCATGTTGTTGCGCACTTGCTGCAATAGCGGAGGGTATTCTGGTTCGGCGTCATTCTGGGGTAGTAGCGCCTCGGATTGAATAGGGCCTTGTTGTATATCGTCCAATTGCAAAATAGTTTTTCTTTTTGCGCCACGGCGTTGGAATGCTTGAAGCAATGGCAGACTCGCATGCTGCGCTGCACGTGGTTTCGCGAAGGGTCGCGTTGAGCTCGGGACGAGACTTGTAATGGCAGTGTATGGTCTGTAAGCAACCGAAGGAATCCTGGTTTTGGTTGACGGATTTGAACGCGCCAGACATTTGGCACGCCTGCAGAGCATCCTCGTTTTTTTAAGTTGTGTAGAGGGAATATGGGTGGGGTACAATGGTCGAAATGCAGGGACGCGTCTGCATCCGGTTAGCTCATCGGACCTTTAGTACGCGGGGTACTCGGAATGTCCAAAGTCAAGCCGCTGACGATACTTCAGTGTGCATCCGCTCCATCTGCTTCCATTCACAACAAAAATGGCGCCCCAATTTGAGCCTATGAAGAATGACTTAATCTTACGCACAGCGAGAGGTCAAAGACCCTCCGCTATTCCTGATGGACATCATGAAATTGACATTGCACAGGCGAAAAGGTCGAGCGCCCGCCAATATGGGTAATGCGGCAAGGTACGGACTCTCGTCGTCGAAGACCCTCAGGCGCTGATGATGCGTAGCCGGGCGCTATCTCCCCGAGTACCACAAGGAAAAGGGCACCAACGATTTTTTTGAATGCTGCCGCAGCCCCGAAATCGCGTCGAATCTCACCCTCCAGCCGATTGAGCGCTACGCGGGCCTCATTGACGCTGCCATCATCTTCTCCGATATCCTCGTCATTCCTCAGGCTATGGGCATGGAGGTGATAATGGTGGACAAGAAGGGACCCCACTTCCCGGAACCACTACAAACTCCGGATGATAAACAGTACAAGGAAGTGCTTGAGAGAGAGGTGGATGTTGCGGAATCACTCGACTATGTTTACAAGGCCATTACTCTCACAAGACAAAAGCTGGCGGGAAGGGTACCGCTGATTGGCTTCTGCGGTGCGCCTTGGACCCTGCTGTGCTACATGGTTGAAGGTGGAGGTAGCAAGATGTTTATCCAGACCAAAACATGGATCTACAAGTACCCAGAGGAGAGCAAGGCGCTGCTACAAAAGATTGCAGAGCTTTGTGTCGAGTATCTTGCTCTGCAGGTACAAGCTGGAGCTCAGGTACGAAGCACGGTAACACTCGGACGCATGACGCTGACCACTGCAGATGATCCAAGTCTTTGATTCATGGGCCGGCGAGCTATCCCCGTCGTCATTTAAGACATTCGCTCTTCCATACCTCAATTACATTGCTGACAATCTCCCGGAGCGTCTCCGGTCCAAAGGGCTGGAGCCCGTCCCGATGACCGTGTTTGCCAAAGGAGCGTGGTATGCCTTGGCGGACCTCTGCGAGACAAAGTACAACACGATCGGACTGGACTGGCTCCATGCACCGGCAGAGGCATACAAGGTAGCGCAGGCAAAGGGCAAGGTGCTACAGGGAAATGCGGACCCCGGTGTCTTGTATGGTAGCAGGGAATCCATCACAAAGGTAGTCGAGGAGATGGTGGCTGGCTTCGGCGGCGGCAAGCAGGGATGGATTGCCAACCTTGGTCACGGTATGTTGCTTGATATGTTACATTCCGTCGCTTTGGTTGCTAATATTCTGCAGGCATCACCCCGTTTGTCAAGCCGGATGATCTTAAGTTCTACTTTGAAGAGATCCACCGACTGACAAAGGCTTAATATAGAAGCCTAGCTGTATTAGGCTGGCCAAGGCTGTTCCGCCAGTGAGGCGGGCTTTGGGTTCCTGCCAAGCACGCAGAGCTCTGCCTATGTATGTCGTCAGCGCCTCGATGTGTTAGTGATGCACAGTGGGGTGAGAGATGCGTCATGTGATGGCAGGATGGATGGCAAGACGAGATGTTCGAAACCAGACCGACATGGTTTCCACGGAGATGACGATCAGCCTGCCAGCCCTGTCCCTGCACGTGTTTTGCAATCTATATGACATATGTACATATGTATGTCTCATGTCGCAGGGCTGCGCATTCTTGTAGCCCAAATGAAACCAGCCTTGGCTTTGACCAGTATTCTTCAGTCCTTGAGCTCGTCGGTCGCAGGAATTATGACTACGTAGCTCATGACCAAAATTTTCACCATTTTTTTCTTTCTCTCCTGGTTGGCTTCTGCACGATGGCGCCACGAGCCAAGGGCAAAAAGGGTCCTCCTGCATCGCCAATCTTGGAAACAAGAGCCTTACCGATCGACTGCCACCCGATTGGTTGCTGAGGGCATGGTCCGAGCGTGCGTTCATTGGAACTTTCCTAAGAATTGAGCACCGAGGACATGTGCATTTGATGTAGAAATGGCGGTTCAAAGGTGATCATGGCTGAATTATCGTGAATTGTCGAGTCTCTGGGGCCTGGCGAGCAATTTGGGCAGACAGACGGGTGTTTTGAGGCTATCTTGGGCTGGCGAGGCCCCATGGAAGGCCGTGGAATGGGTTAGAATCTTCTCTCGCTCGGCGCTGCCGGTGTATTTGCAACTACTACTTTTAAGTCCACAGGCGGCCGGCCATCACCATCTGCTTCCACACAAATAATACACCCACTGTCTCGAGCCACAACCCCGTGCTCGCCTCTTCCCGTTTTGCCTTTCTGTGGCGACGATTGGTAAGTGCTTTTCCTTCCCTTTGCCCCCCTGTTCCTGGCTTCACTGCCGGGCCGCCGTTCACAAGGCTGGCCTTGTTGTGTCTACGTACGCCGCTGCGCACCACAACCCAATGGCCTGACGCTGACCATATAAAAGATTCCCCCAGACTTTACCACTCACGCTCTACATTACTCACCCGTATCTCTTATACTGCCCCTCAGTCCGACTTTTTTTGCGACCCCACTAGCCCCTCTACATCACTGCACAGCCTGCAACCGCAACCATGGTGAAGGATACCAAGCTTTACGATACCCTCGGGGTAAGCATAGCCCTGCTCTATACCCACAAAAGAATGTAGCTTAACAGAACCAGGTATCGCCAGACTGCTCCGAGTCACAACTCAAGTCAGCATACAAGAAGGGTGCCCTCAAGTGGCATCCCGATAAGAACGCACACAACCCCGAGGCTGCAGACAAGTTCAAGGATCTCTCACACGCCTACGAAGTTCTCTCCGACCCCCAGAAGCGCCAAATATACGACCAGTATGGTGAGGAGGGTCTCGAACAAGGTGGCATGGGCGGCGGAGGTGGCATGGCTGCTGAGGACCTGTTCGCACAGTTCTTTGGCGGCGGCGGCGGCCCCTTTGGCGGCATGTTCGGCGGTGGCATGGGAGGTGGACGCGAACAAGGACCCAAGAAGGCGCGCACAATCTCCCATGTCCACAAGGTATCACTTGAGGACGTCTACCGCGGTAAGGTCTCCAAGCTGGCGCTTCAGAAGTCGGTCATCTGCCCCAAGTGCAACGGCGTCGGCGGCAAGGAGGGCGCTGTCAAGAAGTGCGCTGGCTGTGACGGTCGCGGTATGAAGCACATGATGAGGCAGATGGGTCCTATGATCCAACGCTTCCAGACTGTGTGCCCAGACTGCCAGGGAGAGGGAGAAATTATCCGCGACAAGGACCGATGCAAGCAGTGCAACGGCAAGAAGACGATTATCGAGCGCAAGGTCCTACACGTCCACGTTGACCGTGGCGTTAAGAGCGGCCACAAGATCGAGTTCCGGGGCGAAGGTGACCAGCTGCCAGGCGTAGAGCCAGGCGACGTTGTTTTCGAAATTGAGCAGAAGCCCCACCCGCGTTTCCAACGCAAGGACGACGACCTTTTCTACCACGCCGAGATTGACCTGCTGACGGCGCTTGCTGGCGGCCAGATCCACATTGAGCACCTGGATGAGCGATGGTTAACCGTTGACATCATCCCTGGTGAGTGCATCAGCCCTGGCGAGGTCAAGGTGATTCGCGGCCAAGGTATGCCATCATACCGACACCACGACTTTGGTAACCTGTACATCCAATTCGACGTCAAGTTCCCCGAGCGCCTCGGCAACGAGGAAGGCGGGCCGATGAACCCTGAGCAGATCCGCGCCCTCGAGTCGGTCCTACCACCACGCAAGGTTCCGGACGTCATGCCTCCGCCAGACGCAATGACCGAGGACTTTACCCTCGAGGACGTTGAGCAGGGCGGTGAGGGTGCACGTGCACGCGGTATGGGCGGCATGGAAGACGACGAAGACGAAATGCACCCCGGTGCTGAGCGCGTCCAGTGTGCATCACAGTAAACTATTTGCTGCACATACTTTTTTATTGCCTGCGAAGGGATAGATACAGTGGTATGAGATTACGAACACGACACTTACCATGGAAAGCAAACGGTTTCAATTGGGGAAAAAAACGCACGCCGAGGAAAAATATGAGGAAGGTGTGCGTGTTTGTATCCCAGGGTTCGGCGTCGTGGGAGTCTTTTGTTCTGTTTTTTTTTCTTGGTTTTGCGGTGTGTTATTTTATGATCTGATGAATGGATGCATCAGTGGTGGTGGTAGTGGTGTGGTGATGACGATGAGCCTGTTTTGCGTCGAACGTGACGACAGCGAGCGAGAGAAAGAAGATAGAAGAAGAAGAAGCCTAGGATACCAAAGCACGGTTCTTTTAAGAGCTTTTTTTTTCTCTCTTTAGTACTTTCTCCTTTAATTTGGTTATATAGACCGATGGAATCCGCAATGTCGATTCTTGCTCTTCTTGTTTTACGAATTAGACTTTGGATGAAATGAACGGAGTGAAGTGCTAAAGTCACTCGGCACAGCATACATCATCTCATGTAACAAAACGCGGACGGATAATAATCATAAGTAATTTTCATTCCTTTCTCATCCCAGAATACCCAATACAACAAACCCCCTCACTTCCTAATTCTCACTTGCCCCTACCCCCAAACACTCCCCAACCAGCAAGCACTTCCCTCTCGCCCCAAAACATCCACTCGCCCTCCCCATACTTTGCCAGTCCTTCTCTCCGTCCCCTCTCGCCTAGCTCTCCCCACCGCATCAGCAAATTCCCATCCAGCATGCCCCTAGCACCAGTCCCAGCGTCCCACCCGCCATCCGGTGTATCGCTCGCACGGAAAGCACGAGGATTCAGTCCCGCAGTTGCATCGAGCGTATTGGACAGGTACGCACTGAGGTTGGATAGGCGACGATACGTATCTTCGCTTAGCGGGGTGACGAGGGCCAGCGTGCCGGATTGAGATGTGCACAGGATTTGATGGAGGGGTTGCGTGGTTTTGTCGTCGGGAGACGAGGTGTCCATTTCAAAGTCGCCATCTTCGTTGTTGTTTGCGCCGGCGAAGTCGGATGCTGAGGGCATTCTGAGGCGCGAATGGACGACGTGTAGGGTTGCGGGGAAATGGCCGGTGTGGAAGGTGGATTTGTGGAGGAGGCGGGATCCAGCTTCAGATTTTGGGTCTGCAGGGTGGACATGGTCAGTAGGGTGTGAAGGGTGGGGCAAGGGGTGATGGTGAACATACTGTCAGGATCGAACTGTAGGACTTGCAGATTCATATCTGCGTCAGCGACGAGCAGGTGGAGTTGTTCTTTGAAGGGGATAAAGTCGACGGCTATGGCTTCGAGACTGTGTTTTGATCGTGCGAAGAGAGACATTCTGTATGGCTCTTCCTATTCATTGGTTAGCAATTGGCTTACCCATCATTACACAAAAGAATCTTACAGTGTATCCCGTAAACCATACACCACGGTATGCATCGCTCATAGCCAGCATACCTGTGCCAGGCAGATTCTTCAAATCACTGACGTAACACTGCATATCCATAAAGGCAACAGGAAGAAGAGTGCCATCTTCCTTGAGACCTCGTACCATGCACTTTTGTCCTTGGGCCATGATCATGAATCCTTGTGTACCAAGCTCTGAGATTGCGGAGACGGCGCCCTTAACCTCATCTTTCACAATGAGCTTGAGGCGTTTGTTGGTCTCTGGACGGTCTGGTTCGGGAACTACAGTGATGACCTCGAATATACGGATACAGCCTTTGGTGGCTAGGTCCTCACCGTGGAGAATCGCAGTGCCCACTGCAACAAGATCCTTACGCTGGTGTGTATTTTCGCTGACTTCAAGATTAAGTGTCTTGATACTGAGGACTACCTCTTGTGGATCGAGAACATGCGTATCGATGATAGTCCAGGTCTTCTCATCCAGTAACTTAATAACGCCACGTTCAATAGTTGGTTTAAAGCTCATGTCTTCCTTGGGGAGTTCGTAATGATAAGTCTCAGACGGGTCAAGCTGATATTCCTCTGGCTGTCCTGTCCCAACGATATACAAGCCCGAAGAATGGTAGGCGAGAGCATGAATTTCGGCATCCATAGGCATACGCCGTGTTGCCCAGCCCAAGTGACCGTAGTGCGTCTGTGATGGTAGTTGAGAGATACGGAGCGTATCGGTAGAGTCTAGGTAAGCGAAACCACGCTGGCAGCTGGAAGTGTGAAAGGATGTCAGACTCTTTACCGGCTTTCCACTCAGGCCAATGACACGCGGCGCGCTTGACGACTCTTTGAAGATAAATGCCGGGGTAGTGCCTCGTTGGAAGACAGTACTGTAGCCACCAATGTCGCTCAATGCCAAGAGAGTACTCTCAAATCCAGAATCCTCTGCACCGCCGTCTTCAGTGTATCGTGGTATATGTTGCTGAGAAAGCTTGACCCATCGTAAATTCTTGGTCCACAGATCAGCAGCTGAACGTGACGGAGAGTGAAAAGCTTTGTAGATGACGAGGCTATCACTCGATGTGCGGATGATTAGGTGTGGTGATTTGGTCGTTGCATCGCCCAGATCAGCAGCCAAGATCTCTGTAATTGTAGCCTTGATGGCGCTACGCTTGGGGACATAGTCCATGCCCAGAACAGGTGGAAGGAAACTCAGAGCTTCGGCAACATAACATGGCTTCTCCATATCTGACACTGCGAATACACGAAGGCCTCCTTCGGGTGTGAGGAGAAAAGCAAAAACTTCTGTGAAGCTAGCAGACTTGAATAGACTCGCTGAAAGCCATTGTGAGTTGGAAAAGCCGGTGGCTTCGACGTCCTCCAGCTCGCCATCGCCAGTAGCTCTGAAGATCTTAACACTGGAGTCTTCGCGCAGGACTAGGAGGTATGGGTCCGCGAAGCTAGCATTGATGACGTTGAGCTCGTTGCCACTTTCTTCATCCTCCATTGGCAGAATCTGATCCATGTTAAGTTCTAAAGGGTTGGTTAGTTATTGCACAGGATGTTTTGCACAGGGGCTGGAGCCTACCAGAGTCATAAGTACGAATCTCAGTTCGCATTACCTGCACAACCTTTGTGCCTGCTGCCAGTACGCCAACGAACAGCGTTGAGCCTTCTTCTCTCTCAAAGTCACCCTTGTCAGTTTCAGTGAGTTCGTTACCATTGACTTCGTACACGACAGTGCTCTCGGTTCCATCTTCGCCAGTTTTGGATACCACGAGATACTGGTCATAGTCTACATTAGTGGCCATGTTGGCCTCCATGTCTTCACCAAAAGCAGCAGTGACATCTCCAGGTGCCTGTTTCCGGGCATGCACAGCCCAAGTGCCGCGTGCTGAAGGGAGTTGTCTTGTAGCCACAGTGACGGGATGGAGCTCACGATTCAGGGCTGTTATCGCAGCAGCAGCCCCTCGTCCGGTCGAAAGAATTATCTCGCCCCTATTCAATGACTCGGTATCCTTTCCTGGGTGTAGGACGGCATTCTTGATTGGGGCTATACTTGGCAGTACGTCATGTATGCGGAATGTGTAGGTGCCCGGCGCAGTAGGCTTCGAAGCAGCAGCCGTAATTTTTTGGACAGCAGGGGCCGTATCATTGTAAAGATCATCTTCCATGTCTTCCACATCCTCTTCATCAGACATGTCCTCGTCCGTGTCGACGTTCGCGTTGGACTGCTTTCGTCGCAGATGGCTTGCCGTGCTAGTCCACCCCAGCATGACCGAGTCTCCATCCTCGCTTCCAACAAAGAGGCGCCCTCGTCCGAGGTTGCTGGTGCAAGAGGCGGCGGCTTTGACGAGGTGACCGCCGTGGTCTGCTGCAACAGGGTGGACTGTCATGCCTGATACGGTACGGCCATCAAGCGTAAAGGTAAGTACAAGAAGACGTCCATTGTTGAGCATGATTAGCACGTCACCCGCCTCGTGAGACAAAAGCTCAACACTGCAGCCTTCGAGGCGCAAAGCCAGGTCTGACTGGTCGCTGAGAGGAAAGGAAGTGCAGGCTTTAGCGAATTCATTCACAGCCACGCCGTTTGTCTTGCCGCCCTGGTCGACATGTATAATCTCATTTGATCCCACTAGTAGAGCACCGCCAATGGGTGAAGGTAACGGAACCACTCTGGTGATATCGTACGGCAGTCCAGAGACGGACAAGAGCGTAGTCGAGGCTTTTTGCTCGAGATCAAGCGTAAAGACGGAGTATGTGAGAATGTCTTTTCGGTGGGCGAGCAATGACGGGGCCGTGTCTCGAGAGGCAGCAACGATGCCAAACGTGGGCTCGCGGTACTCGTGCAGAAAGGCGAGGTGGACGGGGTGTGTAAGGGTGGGGTCGAGGTTTGTGAGCGGCAGGACAAAGGACGAGGTATAAGGCGTTGTGTGAGACCCAGATGCAGATTGCTGCTCAGGCTTGGACTCTTTGGGCCCATCAGCATCCGAGTCGTAGTCATCGTCGACGAGATCACGCTGGCGAAAGGGAAGAATGGCGAGATTGTGTGAGCCAAACTTGAGGGCGGCACATCTGCTGCTGGGGTCTGCCGTCAAAAAGTTGTACGTGTCTTTGAGATCAGCGGACCAAGGAGCAATGCCGGGCAAGTCTGGGTTCTCATAGTAGTGTATTGATATTGTATGGAGGTTGTACGACTCGGGATCCCACTCCACCAGGCTCAGCTTTGCATCCCGAAATGCCACCAGCAGCGCCTCGCCCCTCGACTTTGTGCTGAGCGCCTTTACGCGCGCCAGCGACACGACTGTGCCGGCGAGAGGGAACTCGCCTACCAGGACCAGCTTGGCAGTGCTCTCAGTGCGCTGCAAGGGCACATCAGCCGCCTCTGTGTCCAAGTTGGCGGCTGCATTCTCCGCCTCGTCTCCTCCGCCCGGCGTGACCTCAGTTGTGGTTGACTTGAGCTCAAAGACCTGCAGCAATGAGTTCTTTGCGACGACCAGGTTGTTTGCCCTGGCGTGCAGCAGCGGGAGGTGGAGGGCATGGCTGACAGCCGTGGGTGGGGCTATTTCCGTGTAGCACTGCATGGCGATGGCTCCGCTCAGATCAATTTGGAGGGCGGGGTGAAGGTGAGCGGAGCTGGAGGGGACAGCGCCCGCGATGCTTTGTCTTGGTGTTGAGTCGCGTCGTGGAGAGAGAAGTGTGGGTATGCGTGCATGGACGCGGGCCCGATGTGGCTAACGCGTCTGCTAGGCTGCATGCATCATCCCCGCTCTGCGACGCGACAGGGACGTCATGCTGCTGCCGCTGGTTTGTAACAGCACCATGTACCACCACTGTTAGCGGCGCACGCCAAACTACCAGGAAACAGGAAAAAACACCAAAAAGGCGGCCTGCGATCTGCCTTCGCTTTTCTTTTCTGCATCGCTTTTCCTAATTCCAGTTCCGCGACATCCATCATGGCTCTCATCCAGACGAGTCTCATCTGGGTGGCCTACGCCGTCGCCGTGGGCCTCCTCTTCCTCATCGCGTCCACCTTCGTCTACGTCTATCAGAAGCCGCGCGATCGCGCTGCCGCTGTCACCATTGTCTGCATCTTCACTACGCTTGCCCTGCTCGCTACGGTCCTGCTGATCCCCGTTGACGTCGCTCTCGTCTCGTCCACGTCCCGCTCCAGCCTAGGCCGCAAGAAGGACTGGGCCACACCGGACAAGGTCGACAGCATTCTCTACACTCTGCGCATTGTCTACTACTCGCTCTACTCTCTTGACGCTGTTCTCTGCCTACTTGTGATTCCCTTTACCTACTTCTGGTATGAGGAATACGACGAGGATGCTGCCGAGCACGGAGAGCAGACTGCCGGCCAGCGCATTGGCGGCGCCATCAAGTGGACGCTTGGTTTCCTTGTCTTTGTCGTCGCCATCTTCCTCGTAGGCTTCTTCGTACCCTTTGCAAAGCAGGCCAAGGACGACAAGCGCCTCGATCTTGACTACTTCAAGCACCTCCTGTCTGAGAACCGTAAGCACAGCCAAGGCGCACTTCAGACACACAAGCTAACAGCCCTCCAGATGGCGAGCGCGCTCTATCCTTTGCCCTCGGCCTACTCATCACAGTCGGAACCGTACTCTATGTGCTCTACACAGGCTCCGGTATGGCGCTACTGCCTGTTGCTATGATCAAGTCGGCACCTTCCATCTCGGCCCCCACCCTTGCCGCGAACACTGCTTCTCAACTAGAGTCCAACCGTGAGCGCCAGAGGCAGCTTGAAGGCCGCAGCCAGGGCCGTGAGGGTGGATTGGATAGCAGGGACAGGCGCGAGCTTGAAGCCCTTGTTCGCGAAGAGCGCACTCTGATCCGCCGCGAACGCCTGGCTGCTGAGTCCAGTGGTGAGGCCCGCCATTGGATTGTCAAGGCTTGGATTAGGACAGAGGCCTTTTTCCGTCCGCTCAAGCTCCTTGGCGGCCTCATCCTCCTCGTCTTTGCCCTTGTCATTTTCGCTAGTATGTTCATCACTGGCATTGACAAGGCCAAGAACTCCATCTGCGGTGCTCACTGCGGATACATCCTCGGCCACATCAACATCTTCCAGCCTCTCAACTGGATTCTTGTCAAGTCTTCCAAGGTCTTCCCTATCGACTATGTTCTGTTCTTGCTCCTTGTCCTCTTCTTCTTCTCCGCCTCTGTTGTCGGAATCGCTACGGTCGGCATCCGCTTCCTCTGGATCACCATTTTCAAGATTCGCAAGGGCCACACTTCACCTCAAGCTCTCCTTATGGCTACTGTGCTCCTTACGCTCATTGTTCTCGCCATCAACTATTCCGTCGCCATGGTCGTTGCTCCTCAGTACGCCACCTGGGGCCCACAAACCTACTGCGACATGAAGACCAACAGCCTTGACGAGCAACCCGACTGCGCCGAGCACAAGGACCTCATCAAGCCCTGCAGCGAACTTGCTACCAACCCCTCAGCCCAGCAGGTCTGCACCCCCTCTGTCCTTAGCACCTTTATTAACCGCGTCACGATCAATTTCCCCTTCTTCGGTGTCGTTCTCTTTTGGGCTCAATTCGCCTTCTTGGGCATCTACCTCATTGTCTTTGTCACTACGCTGTTCAGGGCACCCACCCTCGACCAGGAGCAAATTGATCGCGACCTCGAGGAGGAAGAGGAAGAAGGTCTACTTGCAAGCACCGGCCGCAGGTTCGGTGCTGCATGGGGTGATGCTACTGGTCGCGCTAGCAAACCTACGACTGCGTATGGCGCTACTAGCGCAAGGAATGCGGAAGATTAGTTTGCCCTATGGATTTCTCTTCGGTATGCCCTTAGTAGGCGGTAAAATTGTTCTTTTCTTTTTTGCCCTGTATTTTAGTATGGTATTGGAGGGCACACGTCTTCCTCCCCCTGTGTATCTTGTTATCCTAGTTCCCAGTCGCTTGTATTCCTGAGTTTCTTTCCCCTTAAGTCGCTGATAGCCATCCTTGCAAAGTCAATGAAAATAAGTTCCCAGCAAAAGCAACAGTTTAGGAAACTCGAGTTTGAAAATTTCAATCAGGCGATGAATTCTCGTATTCCAATATTTGTTCATTTACATCGTAAAATCATTGCATCTGCAACATCGTTTCCATGTCGTCTATAACATATTCAGATCCCTTAGTTCTGCACCATCCGAGAACAAAAAAAAAGAAACAACCTCGGTGGTGGATATGTGAACACGTCCGCATGCTACAACATCAAGTCTTGCAGTTGGCTGTTTTTCTCCAACAAGATTAGAGGAAGCAAAAGGGCCTTGTTGTTGCTGGAACAACATGCAACATGTCTATATTCGTCTCCGCCACCATGAACCAAACGCCGTTATTGTGGTCGTAGCTGACGGGATCATAGCGGTCTCTCCATCCTTTGATAGTCTCGTTGCGATTGGAGCTGTCCATGACGCCAGCAACGCACTCTTTGCCCACTTCCTGTACGATCCTGCACCAGAAAGGCGCAGCGGCAGACCCGTAGGCTGCTCACGACAATGTACTGTCTCTGGTAAGAAAATGTCTTGCCCTTGGCGCGGCGATCTAGATCAGGGTGCGGAATGGTCGTCTTTTGGCAGCGAAGATGTCCAGATGTTTCTCTTTGGTGATATCAACACCATATTGGACGGATTACTTGATTGTATACATCCTGTAGTCGCAAAGACACTGTTTCTGACATGACAGCGGGCGTGCTGTTATACGTCCCATGTTCTTCCGGGTGCATTGGGTTAGGGTGTCGCGGTTCCAGACCATGCGTAGTGTAAAGAAAGTGGAGTTCAGGACACTCAATATACAAGGCCCCCGGATGGTAAAGTATCCGTATCCGTATTCGTATCGGTAGGGGACAATATTCCCGGTGGCTTTCCCCCGGGGAGTTCGGGATGGAGAGACATCAGGCGTGGAAGAATGGGGTCACCCCTCATCTCCGTGGTCCGTGATCTCGTCGTTGACGTCCTCGTCCTCGTCTTCCATGGAATAATCGTCGTCTTCCTCTACACCCTCTCGTCCCAGAACCCACGCCTCGTGGTCCTTCTCTCCATCCTTGAAGAATAATACAACTCCATTCTCCATTGCGCGCTTGGCTGCGTCGCTCAGGCGCTGTGAAGTCCGTACTTGGCATCTCTGTATATATTGAAAGTACACTGATACCTCCGGCTTCCTCGTTCCTGTAGCGTTACATAGGGAAGTCACAAGTTCCACGGGTACCGCCGCCTCATCTGCCTCCTTCTCGCGCACAATCGTACTGAATGCTTCCAACTGTGGCGGAAGCAGCGCCGAGAACTCCGTATCCACTGCGTAGGCAACATCAACAAATACGTCGAGAGGACAAGCCATGCTGTGCAAGCAGTCAAACTCGCTGAACGAGCCCAGGATGCCGAAGTCGTGACCCTCGGGGTAAACCGTCTCGATAATTCCGGCGTCTGAAGCGTCGGAGAGCGAGAGACGCTCGAGGCATGTTCGATGGTGGTGCAGTGCGGTGCCTAGCTGGCTCCAAGAGTGCTCAGGGAAGATGGATAGCGGGTTGGATTCTGCGGCGAAGGGCTCCCAGGGGGCGGTGTGGAAGTTGTATTCGAAGTGGGAGAGGGAGCGAATGGAAATGAGGATGTTGGATAAGGCGGATATGTCTAGCATTGCGCGGTGTAGGAAGAGTTCTTTGATGGGGCTTGTGGAAGTCGGTATAGGCCATGTCCTGAAGGGCGTAGTTTGGTGGAAGCCATCCAGTTGGAGGTGTAGGAGGGAGGGCAGGCGGAAGAGGCTGGATAGGGATTCGATTGGGAAATCTCTTGATGCCAGGCGTCTGACTTTGATACAGAGGTGTGTGAGTTTGGAGAATTGGTTGCGAGGCTCCAGTGAGGGGTATATGGCTTGGTTGAATAATCTTAGCCAACCCGCCGTAGTACTCCTTGCACTCATTGGCTCGTCGTTGTTGGCTTTGGCGTGGTCGACTCCCAACGTCATCCATCGAATATTGTGCCCATTCCTGAGGACACTGAGAAAAACTTCTCTCTCGGACTCCTTGTCTTCCGAATCTGTAAATGCGTATACCAAAGTCCGCACATTTCTAGCCAGTGCGGGCCACTGTGAAATCGCATGCGCATCCCCATGATGCGGCCGAAGACCCCCTACAGTTCCATATAACAGCTCTTGCGAAATCCGCTTACAACGCCTATCCACTCGGCAGAGTCTGGCCAGATCATCCTTTTGGTCCTTCAAGTGCTGCAAGATGTATAGGAGGAGTTCTTCTGGTATTTCGTCAAGGCTCGCCTGCGTTTCTTTCGATATAACACCTCTTTCCTTACTCTCACTGCGTTCGTTGCTGATGTCTGTGTCCGCTAAAATAGTTTGTGCGAACTCCGACAGGGTGTTTTTCCTCAATAGGGAAGATTTGCCCGTCTGCAACTCACTTGTTATTTCTGTCCTTTCCATTGCAAAATTGGAAACTTGCAACGGTCGTACGTCGTAGAAAACAAGAAATTTAGATATATATAAAAGACTTCCCACTAGTATATCAATTGAGGCAATTGTGGTGGAATTGAGTATAAAGACCATGGTGTTGCGAATTCCAACCAGTCAAATTTTGGGCTGACGACGTTCCCTCACCGGTCCGATTGGTTCCTTCACCGTGAAACTCATTGGCCCCCAGCTGTCTGGTCAGGTGTCCTGCCCCTGGTGTCAGTCGACCAGCAAGTCGTGTGAAAGTGACGGGATATAATTTTGTTGCGTAGGCGGCCGCCCTTGCATCACTGACGAGCCCCAATGGGAGAGCCCATTTCGGTATCCCAGTGGCTGTCCTTCATCGGGGTCGGCGAGAAACGTCTCGCGAAGTGAACGTGTTGTTGATTGCGTGAAGCTGAAGGGGAGATGGTCTTGCGACTCACCGCCCACCAGCGCTTGTGAATACATGCGGTGTAGGTGAGAGAAGTGGATGGATACGCATGCAGTACAGAGCGTCTGTCAAGAGCGTGAGTTGGGTTAGTAGATATGACGTGAAAGAGCTCTATTGTGTAACTGGCAGCCAGTGGTAGGTAGCAAACGAATGCCGAGAGATCCGGAAGCAAACCTTTGACAACTAGATGGCGTTTTGCTACTCCCCCAAACAACGCCTGTTTGTCCCCGATAGCCGGTGAGAAGAGCGCCAAACTTGCTGCTTCTGTTGACATGTACATGCGTGCGAATGGTGAGATGCTCACGTGCCGTGCTTGAGCCGTGGTTGTGCCAAGTGTCAGCACGGCAATGCGGGATACAGCCCGTAGTCTTGTCTTGATGGATGTCATATCCTTATTTCGTCTTCTCTGTCGACTCTACTGCTTTTTATTCCATCTTCCTTTTCGACGCTCTACAGACATTCAGATTTCGTTAGGAGTATGCACATACAGGTACGATACCATTTGCACGAGACCGGGTCGACTAAAGTACCGCATTGAATGCCGCGGCGCTAAACCACTGGCCTTCTCGAACGGCCGTAGAAGCACATCGTCTCTGTATAAGCGCACAAACCTGTTGACAATACCTTGGGTCCTATCCTTATTGACGTAGTATACAGGCCGTGGGAACGTCTGCAAGCGCATGCCAATGCTCAATGCCGAGAGACTGCAGCTTGCACATTCCAGTTCTGTATCTTCACTCCATCGCGTTATCTCCCTTCAACCTGGTTTCGGCCGCTTTCATCTCAGCACTTCGTAATAACCTCCATGCCGAGCGACGGGAAGAAACTCTTGGACGACGGGCTAATGCGATGTTCTCGAGTCAGGTGTGCCAAACTTCCGAGAGTCCGGAGCTCAAAGCCAGCGCGCGCGCACTACACAGAACATCTGGGTATCATCACCTTCCCCAAAGGTGCTCTTTCCCCTATGGCGCTCACGGCTGGCGTTGCTCGTAATACTGGCCAAGGCCGAATTGCAGGCCGAACCCAGACGGACTTTGTGCCGGGCAGTCCAGCAAACGCGCTCCAGGTGAGATTCGGGTTCGCCGTAATAGTATCCAGGTTGTTTTTCTGCTTGGCGAAACACCGTCCAGTTAGAACCTTGACGAATCACCTTCTGGAAACAGTTAGCATCACTTCGAGACGGCTACATGACCATGGATCAGTAGGACCACAGAAGAAGCCCTGCTATATCGTTGCCGGATAACAGTCACGTGACCGTTTTCCACCTTCCGCATGAAGCATGATTGCCAAATTATGCCCAGACTGACATCAATTTACCAAGACATTAACGTAGTATGGCTGTTGAATTGTGGCAATACGATGGGCGGGCTCATAGGAGCATTGCAGAGTGTTCTATGGGCACCAGGCTTTTATATATATCCATAGAGTCCTATGTAGAAAACTTGCTCATTCCAGCTCAATTGCACTCTACACACTCGCAAAGTAGCCAAGATGAAGTTCTCAGTTGCTGCATTGGCGCTTCCTGTTGCGGTCCAGGCTGCCTTTTACTCCAAGTCGGAGTATGCCTCTGGACAGGTTCATCAGAAGTTGATGAAGCTGAAGAATGTACGTTTTCTATAGACTGCTTTTTGTTGTTTTCACTATTCTAACATGTCTCAAAGGATCAATGGGAGCGCGATGTGGCAGAGGGCAAGCAAGATCCCACTCAGTGGGACTCTTTCTCTACCTTGAAGAAGGGAGCATGGGCACCGGGAAAGAACGACGCCCGCATCCCTTGCAAGGATGGCCTCGCTATCGCTGAGCCAGGAAACGCCAACCAGACCTACCGCTGCAAGAACGTCAGTAGACCTGCAACTCGATTAAGCAAGTAATGCTTGTACTTACAAGAAACTAGATGGACCTCTACGACTTCATCAGCCACGCCGACATGGGTGGCCCAGAAGGCCGCGGATCCTCGTCCTGGGGCTGGACTGCCGCCAACGGCCGCGAGTTTGGCATTGTCGGCCAGTTCTCTGGCGCCGCCTTTGTCGAGGTTCTCAAGAACGGCCAGATGGTGTACCTTGGTCGTCTCCCTGCTCAGAGCGAGGGTTCGCGATGGCGCGAGATCCGTGTTCTGAACGACTGGGTCATTATCGGCTCTGAGGCTGTTGGCCACAACGTTCAGAGTAAGTTCAAGAAAAGTCACTCGTTTTACATACATAGCATATGACTAACACGTGACAGTCTTCGACATGAAGAAGCTTCTGACTGTGGACCCCGCCTCCCCCAAGACCTTCGACCCCAAGACCGACCTCGTCGGCCTCTTCTCCGACCTCCCCATCGGCCGCACGCACAACGTCGTCGTAGACTGGGACCACGACTCCATCCTCGCCGTCGGCGCCCAGCCCCGCAACGAAACCTGCAAGTCGGGCCTCAAGTACATCGACCTCTCCAACCCCAGCAAGCCTACCTCCCCCGGCTGTGCAAGCAGCGACGGCTACGTCCACGACGCCCAGTGCGTAAAGTACAACGGCCCCGACCGCAGTTTCCGCGGCCGCAACATCTGCATAGGCTACAACGAAGACACAATTACCGTGTATGATTCGACGTTCAAGAACGGAAACCCAGCCTCGGAGATCCTATCCACCCTCTCGTACCCCGGTGCGTCCTACTGCCACCAGGGCTGGTGGACCGAGAGCAACTGGCACCAGTACGTGCTCATGAACGACGAGCTCGACGAAGTCAACGCCGCGGGCCCTGCTGCTTCGGGCCGCCCAATCACCCACATTATCGACTTGACCGATCTCCGTAACCCCAAGGCGACCGGAACCTTTTTTGCGACTGACCACAAGGCTATCGATCACAACCTGTACATTGTAGATGGCCTTGCGTACCAGAGTAACTACGGCGCGGGTCTCTGGGTCCACGACGTCAAGTCTGTAAGCAAGGATCCTACCGGCAAGGGCGTTACCGTCGAGGGCTTCTTTGATATCTACCCCGAGGATGATGCTGCTGGTGGTACCGTTGCGTTTGTGGGTACTTGGTCACACTTTTTGTTTCCCTCGGGATACGTGCTCGTTAGTAAGTTTTACCCTGGACTCGAGAATGTACGAAGAAAAAATTGGAATGCTGACGAGAATTTCTCCACAGATACTATTGAGCGCGGCGCTTTCACCGTCAAGCTTAACAAGGGCCGTGGTGCTAGGCGCGGTCGCGGTCACGGTGGCAAGTCCCGATAAACGACTTTAATGAGTGTGGGCATCATCGAGCGTACTAGCTCATCTTTTTTTTCCCCTTTGATGAAAAAGTCGCAAGGGGTGATGATATGACGAGCGTTGTTTTTCAGTTTTCAAGTATATACATATACCCCTGTTCACAAAATATGAACATCTCCGACCACCTCTTCCTCCTGCCCCCCCCCTTTTTTTTCCATTTGGGAAATCTCTCACAGTCTTTGAAGTTACACAAAGAAATTCAGCTTGCCGAACAACGAGTAAAATGCTGCCACACGCCCAACTCACGAACTAAACTACGTAGTGATCGGCATTCAATCTGCAACGCTAGGAATCAAACTCGCAGTTGCATAGTTACATCTGAGACCCCCCCTTCTCGTCCGAAACAAGGGCTAGCAAGTATACCGTTTTTTCTCTCTAAATATGTACGGCGGAAACTACTTACTACACATTCATTGCCTAGCGCGGCTTTTGTGTAGTAGCGTGTATACTTTGCGCCCCCCTCCCCCCTCTCTGTCTCGGGCGCAAGGGGAAAAGAGGTGTACTATTGTACACAAACACAAATCTAGAACTGTCAGCAATCGGGGCTCACAGTTTTCCCTTGCATTCCTTATCTTCTTAGGTGCAGAAATAGTCGTTGTCATGGTGTGGTGAGTTATGTATGCCTCTCTTTATGGCCCCGGCCATTCCGATTGGGGAATTTCCTATTTGCGAATAGTATGTAACGTGTTGGATAAGCGAGTCGGTCACCCCACCAACTTTGATCACCTACCACACCTTTGCGTACAATGCCTCTAAGCCACGCTTCTCAGTCAATTTCTCACGAAGCA